GTCCTCTTTTGGAAGGCCAAACAAAGTAATTTCACTTTCACAACGAAACACACAGCGCCTTGAATCACGACATGGCGGCGGCGTCAACAACAATACTACAGCGAGAATAAAAGTTACGCCTTCTTTCTTTGCGTGAACATTTGGGCGACGTTATGCAAATCTTCCCACATCGTGACGTAGATATGTGGGGGCGTGTTAGAACGAGGCGTTTTAGGTAGGCGTGGCTGACTCTTAACTTTTATAAAGAATATCTCTTTGGATTTGAGACTTTAGTGTTTGCAACTTTACAGATCTTCTTTATGCACCAAGAGCTTGTAACACTCCAAAGAGAAAGGAAAAATTGAAATCGCATCTTATGACCCCTTTAAGTTATTACGACTTTAAAAAAATACTCATTAAGAAAAGGAGTTTTTGCAGTGTATTAGTGGTACAAACTCACCAGAATTCGAGCCTGTTCAGGTGTGAGTGTGTCTCCCTCTTTACACACTTCAAAATCTTTTATCAATGTCACCACACCTGCAGATGGATTGATAATACATTAGTTAGTGCAAAATACTTTCTGTCCAATACATTTTACAATACACTTCTCTTCTGAAAATACAATTTCAGATGCAGCTATGGTTATATTAAAGGAATAATTTAGCCAAAAATAAAATTTAGCTAAAAAGGCCATCCAACATGTTTGGAGAGATGTAGCATTACTGCAGTGAATGGGTGCCGTCAGAATAAGAGTCCAGACAGCTGATAAAAACATCACAATAATCCACAGCACTCCAGTCCATCGGTTGATATCTTGTGAAGTGAAAAGCTGCTGGTTTTTAAGAAACAAATCCATCAAGACGTTTTTAAACTTCAAACAGTCTCTTCCGGCTAAAATACAAGTCCAAAATCCATAATAACGCTTCCTCCAGTGAAAAAGTCCATCCCCTGTTGTCTCTCACATCAACATCCACCCACATATTGGTTTAGAGCTGTTTTGGACGTTTTTTTTGCTTGTAAACGATGCTTGATCTGTGCAGATTTCTCTCCTGATTCACATGAGACGACTTTTTCACTGGAGAATGCAATATTATGAATAGAGGACTCGTAATTTAGCAGGAAGCAACGGTTTGAAGTTAAAAACATCTTGATGATGGATTTGTTTCTTACAAACCAGCAGCTTTTCATTTCGCAAGACATTAATTGAGGGACTGGATTACTTGCGGATTATTGTGATGTTTTTATCAGCTGTTTGGACTCTCATTCTGACGGCACCCATTCACTGCAGAGGATCCATACATACATTGCAAGTGATTTAATGCTACATGTCTCCAAATCTGATGAAGAAACAAACTCATCTACATCTTGGATGGCCTGAGGGGGGAGTACATTTTCAACAATTTTTAATTGTTGGGTGAACTGGTTTGTGTAATAGTCTTCATGTTAACTAATGCTTTACCTTTCTTGAGCGCTGTAGGGAGGCCCAGCTGTCTGAGCTGAGGCTCCATCGAGTGTGGAAACTGCTCCAGCGGACCTTCATCCAGCGTCATGGCCATGGTTGCTACGTTTCCCGCTCGAGCGTAATCCACCTCTTTAAAGTTACTGAAATATCTGTGGAAATAACACATTTTTACAAAAAAAGGAATTCATTAGGTTTTATTAGAATTCAAGGATGTTGACACTTGTGTTAATCAAGCGTACAAGGACATATCAGTCCATCGAGTCTGAAATTAATCACGGATAGGTTTAAGATTGTCAAAGCATATTAATTGGTCTGAATGTTGTTTAAATGAACTTACTCTTGAACCTCATCTTTTGTTTTGTTTGTGAACAATACACCTACTTCACCTCTGAGAAACTTGCTCACCTGCAAAACAAGCCAGTGTAAGCCAGTGTAGCTGATCAAATTCATAAAATTAGCCATTTTTAAAATTCCATAAATTAGCAATGAAATCATTAATGACCTGCGCTAACATACTTTATGCAGATTATCTTTGTACTCGTCTGTCGGTCCTTTACCCAGTGCGATCATCATGACTTTGTTCTTACCGAAAAAGAACCTGAAACACAAAACCCAAATACAACCTTAATCTCTTAGAAATCCTAAAATAACGCATTAAAACAGTAAATCAAAAGCATCACGGAGTGTGTGTGTGTGTGTACCGGCTGTGTTTCCAGGCCGTCCTGATGTCTTTTAGTTTGTTGTTTCTCATGTTTTCTACTGAGAACACAAACACGTATCTGTAGATGTCTGCGCATTTCCGCAGCTGAGAGGGTGAGAAATGGAAAGAGATATTTTAATTGATCATAAAACTATTGTTTATGGTATTACATATCTAATTTAGGTCTGTAAATAAGCAATTCAAAATACTAAACAAATAGATCTCATCAAGAGGGAATATATCTCTTTATGTCACTAAGAAAAACTGAATGTAAAACAGATTAGCAGATTTTCTTGTTTCATAGAGCATCTCAAATCATGCTGGAGAACATGATCATCAGGTTTTGCTCATATCAGCTCCAGTGCTGCTAAGTACTTCAAAGAATATCATGTTATTACCATGGTATATGCTTGTAGTGTCAGTCACCCAAAATAGCAATAAAAAGTCACACTAACCTCTTCAATCAGGTTTTGCTTGGCTTCCAACCCCTTCTTGGTTGTTTTGGTTAAAGAAACTATATATATATAAAAAAATATATTATTAATGATAGCACAAAAAAACATTAGCAAATTCTAACACACCCAACTGCTTCAATAACATTAATAAATGGCACTTTTACAGTTTAACCACATACACTAAAGTCAGAGCAGCAAGTAACAAACGTGATTTTATTTCAGCACTGCGTCTATTAAAATGTAAATACGTTTAAAATCTCTGACAGGTTCCTCTTTTTAACTAACCTAGCGAACTAAGCTCGAGCCATTTTAATGTACGCCGTGTAAAACTGAGTAATAATAAGTGATAAAAACAAATTAAATCATTAAATGAATACCTTTCTTGTCCCTCTTAGATTTCGGCATGGCTCTCACGTTGTGGTGGGCTCGGTGTTTTCTTCTTCGCCTGATGAGCTCAGAGCGCTTCACAAACTGTGAGGAAGCACACCGCCGCCTAGTGGTGTTCGCTGGTGCTCATGAATATTAATTAGATCACTGGACGAACTCTATGCGTGGGGTTATTAATATTCATAAGCCAGAAATGGATTTGTTCATTCCTCTCAAGGAAAACTATAATCAGTTCTATTGTAAATCAGCAGGAGGCGCTGCATAACTGTGGTATTATTAAAGACACGCACTATTAATATGAGTAGATTTATACTTATGAAAATGCTGTCATCATTTACTCACCCTCCACTTGTTCCAAACCTGTATGAGTTTATTTCTTCTGTTGAACACAAAAGAAGATATTTTGCATCCGAACAGTTGATGGGCACCTTTGACTTCCATAGTATTTTTTTTTTTCCTCAATGGTGCTCATCAACTGTTCGGATAAGTAACATTTTTCTAAATATCTTCTTTTGTGTTCAACAGAAGAAAGAAACGTATCCAGGTTTTTGAACAAGTGGAGGGTGAGTAAATGAAGTGAACTACTTCTGTAACTCTCTTTTATTCTCATGATATTCTAAGATACACACGTTTATTTTATTTTATTAAAGATTTTAAAGTTTTTCTTGTTTTTACAGTATGCAATTTTTATCATTATGCAAAGTGTAAAAACACCTTATTTTGTCAATTTGCCACATTTTGTCAATAAACACCTTATTGAACACAAAATATATGTTAAAAGTATATTAAAAAATATATAGCAACTAGCTTACATAGTAACTATCAACAAATAAACAGAACTTAACAAATTAAACACACAGTCAAGGACTTGATTAATTGCACTTTACTATTCTTTGTTTAGATGCTTTTTATTGATTCCAAACATTAAGAAAAGGAATGACATACAGTATATTCTGTAACAGTAACCAAACTCCAACCAAAGAACACCCGCCCGACATAAGAGCCATAAGAAACCTTTACACATAGCACTACCAAAAACAGGGGCCATTATTGTAAAATACATTAAGAAAATTACAGTTCAGCATATGTAATTAATTACCCATGAAAAACTCAAAATATGTTAAAATGTGCCATAAACACAGTTCACAGTCAACTGTCATATGATCACATTATTTGGTATTACTCAAGAGTCAGTTCATTCTGATCTAAGAAAACGTTCAGTCCCAGATCTTTTAAAATATGTGCATTTTTTGTTTGTTTGAGTAAGTTAGTCTTTCCATTGCTAAACGAGAAGACAATTCTTTAATCCAGAGAGACAGAGATGGACCATGTATACTTTTCCAGTGAATGCCAACCAGGCGTTTCACTTTACTATTCTTAAGTATTATTTTGAGTATTTATTTCCACTCAAGTGCTGTACTTTATATATCATCTGGCCTTTGAAGCGAATTAAATAAAATACAAACTTTTTAATTTCACTTACGTAAATATGGCTTTTTGACTATATACTTTGATTTTAAATAAGCAATGTTGGTACAGTATATAAATAATATGAATTATAGTAATATATGAATTATTAATATTAATAATAACATATTTCAAATAAGTACAATTTCTTTGTATTTTTCACATCACTCACTAGTCACAACACAACATAAACAGTGCAGAAAATGACCAGAACCGATCATTTCAATTCTCCCTAACAAGACCTCTTTTCCCAGACAGCTAAAACTCATTAGAGGAACTGCCTTTTTGTTATAGATTTGTATGAGAACAGAGGGATTCACATGGGCACTTAACATTTGAATGAAAGGATTTGTAGCAGACATGACTGCACTCCCAAAAACTTTGATGGACAAAATGAATCAAACATTGCAAAAATTACACATGATCCTCAGAAATCCTTGGGTGTGTTTTGTGCATATGTGCAGAGCGCTTAAACAGACTTCAAGCCAGGGCAGGTTTAAGGTGTAGATGCTTGTGTAATGTCTGATTCTATTCATCAGTCTTTTGGTGAAATGCAAACACTCAAACTCTGTGTTGCCGCAACATGTAAAAGTGAAAATAATCCTTCCTTACAGGTTTAATTTATGAATTTTCTAATGAGCTTGCTCTCACTTTCACATTTAATGCCCGTCATTAATATTAACTGAGGTATGAACCTTTCAACTCTGACCTATGTGTCTGAATTAGTCACAGATTTGTATTCAGTGAGATGGTTATGTTTTTTGCAATGTGCAAAACTTGTGAATTTGTTGCTGTCAGAAAGCAGTGTTACAATATAAATATATAACTCAAATAATAACACGTCTGCTAAATATATAATTGAAAATGATAGATAGATAGATGGATGGATGGATGGATAGATAGATAGATAGATAGATAGATAGATAGATAGATAGATAGATAGATGGATGGATGGATGGATGGATGGATGGATGGATGGATGGATGGATGGATGGATGGTTAGTTAGATGGATGGTTAGTTAGATGGATGGATGGATGGATGGATGGATGGATGGTTAGTTAGATGGATGGATGGATGGATGGATGGATGGATGGATGGATAGATAGATAGATCTTAAATCAAAATGTAATACAAGAATAAATAAAAATGTAATAAAAAATCTATTTGCAGACAAATATATTTAATAATATATTTATCAATATCAATATAATTAACAATTCAAAGATGAAATATTAAACATGAATAAATATAAATTTTATATATTTAGCTAAACAATAAATCATATGTAAAATATTTGTAAATTATTAATAGCTATTTTAAACATTGATAAAGTATAAATTGTATATATTTAGATACAATATTAAGTAATATATTTTAGCAATATTAATAGTTAAATAATTAATTATAAAATTGATCAAATATCAACATATTTTGTCAAAATAATGTTATTAATAATTAAATAATTAATTATGAAACATTGCTCAAATATAAACGGTATATATTTAGATAAAATATTAATTCATATGGGCTATTAATAGTTACATAATTAATAATGAATCGTTAATAAGGTATAAATTGTATATATTTAGATAAAAAAAATCAAATAGTATATTTGATCAATATTAATATAATTAATAATAAATTATTTGGCTATACTTAGTTAACACTGAAATCATATAAGTTGCATTTATTTCGATAAAATATTGAATAATATATTTGATCAACCTTTAATAATTAATGCATTCATTGTTAAACATTGATCAAATATCCTGGAGCCTCTTGTATGGTTGTTATTTTTATTTGTATTGATCGGTTAGTAGTTTTAAAGCGCTTGTATGGCAGCGGGTCTTTAAAATCAGATTATAATAATCCACTCTTGCAGTTTGAAGAAATAAAACGTGCTGGAGTTTGTTTGAGGGGGCGATGTTGCCATATTCCTGCACTCCCTCCCTCCTGCTTCTCCGCGTCCCGGGGCGGCGTGTCGGGGGCGGAGAGTGCGCTCACTGCGCTGCGGATCTCCCTCTTTTAGGAGTATGAAACTCGATCCCGTCGCGCCGGCACAGTAGCTCGAGTCCAGCGGAAGAGACTGTGAGAACAATATCAGTGTGATCGGAGAGTTTGGACTTCACGATCACCGAGATGAGTCGCAGTTCTCCAGATGTCCCGGACTTTCAGAAATGAGCTGACCCGTTATTCCTGCTCGTTTCCATGGAGAACATGATGCGTCCTGGAATGATAGACAGATAATGATTGCATTGCTTGTTTCTAATCAACTGATGATACTTAGGGGTTTTTTTACGCATGAGAAGAAGACTGCATGGACACACCAGCTCTGAATTTAAGTCATTAAAGCTCACCGATATCTATTTTTGTATGAAACCATGAGCTCGTTGTTGTTTGGAGAAGGTTTTTTGGGCGGTGTGGTGAGCGGCGCGCCGTCGGACACGGTTCCCAGAGCGCTGCGCAACGACCTGGGATCCAACATCCATGTTCTCAAGACCCTCAATCTGAGGTTCCGCTGCTTCCTCGCCAAAGTCCATGAGCTGGAGAGAAGGAACAAACTTCTGGAGAGCCAGCTGAAGCAAGCCTCCAGTCAGCCGAGGCACACGGGCTTCACCTTCACGCGTGAAGTCGCTGTCCAGACGGACTCTCTGGAATCCAGACTTCCAGGCACCATCTGGAGTTTTACGCATATTTTGAGACACGGAGAGCGCGTGAAGACTGTCCAGGGGCCCGGGGTCACCTGGACCCATCCGGACGGGGTTGGGGTCCAAATCGACACCATCACCCCAGAACTGAGAGCCTTGTATAACGTTCTGGCCAAAGTCAAACGGGAGCGGGATGAGTACAAGAGAAAGTGAGTAGGCTACTGTTTTATCATGCCTTGATTTGTTCTTCATGCAGCTCTGTAGGCCTGAAAATGAGCCTGGTCAACATTTCGGTGCTGGACTGATTCATTGCAGCAGAATACCTTGGCAGGCAAACAGCAAATATTGAAGGGCCCAGTTTTGCATGCAGCACAGCTGGAAACCGTCCATACAGGCCAAATGAACATTTGAGCTTTTGGGAATGTTGGTGTGCTTGCATGGGAAATGCTTCTTCATTAGCATGTTCATTAAGGATATGTATGATGAAATGCAGGGAAGCAGTGATCACTATTATATAGAGTCACCTCTAAATATACCAATTTTTTCTTGTATTGCTCAGCAGCTGAAGTCCTCCTTCAAATTTTGCAGCTGTCTTCAGAAATACGATACGAGAAGCTTTTTATCACAGTTGCCCAATGATTAAGTTATTTGTTTCATTCACTTCATTCACTTGGTACATTATTATTATTATTTTTTTTCCGTTATGACATGATTTTCATGACAATATTGCATATTTTACCCCAAAATCTCATTGCTGTAATACAAACAAAATGATTTATGATTAAAAGTATTTATAAATAATGCTATTATTTGTGGCACTTCTTTTAATTCATGCTGATTTAAATTTAAAAAATATTTTATTTTATGCTGATTTAAATAAAAACGTATTTGTGCAACAGTATTGTTTAAGATAATTGTACAGTAAAAAATACTGTATTACAGTAATGAATATCATAATTGAAATACATGGAACAGTAAAAGTAAAACTTCAGGATGCAATAATATGAATGGGACTGAAAATTTGAGGGTAAAATGTGCTTAATTGTCCTGAAAAACAGTGCTCCATTTAATTTATTTTATTTTATTTAGTTTCCTTTGCAAAATATCATTTTCATGATTTTGGACTAGAATGTGACACAGACATGATGACTGATTTCCAGCCTTATGGATCAGCCTTTCTGAATGAGTTTTCTTAAGGATGTTGAATGGGTTTTATTAATGCATAACTTCTGAATGACTTCAAACACTGAGGCACCAGAGGAGCCGCGTGAATGTGTGTGTGTGTGTGTGTGTGTGTGTGTCTCATTGCTGTAATACAAACAAAATGATTTATGATTAAAAGTATTTATAAATAATGCTATTATTTGTGGCACTTCTTTTAATTCATGCTGATTTAAATTTAAAAAATATTTTATTTTATGCTGATTTAAATAAAAACGTATTTGTGCAACAGTATTGTTTAAGATAATTGTACAGTAAAAAATACTGTATTACAGTAATGAATATCATAATTGAAATACATGGAACAGTAAAAGTAAAACTTCAGGATGCAATAATATGAATGGGACTGAAAAATTTACAGTAGTGAAAATTTGAGGGTAAAATGTGCTTAATTGTCCTGAAAAACAGTGCTCCATTTAATTTATTTTATTTTATTTAGTTTCCTTTGCAAAATATCATTTTCATGATTTTGGACTAGAATGTGACACAGACACGATGACTGATTTCCAGCCTTATGGATCAGTCTTTGTGAATGAGATTTCTTAAGGATGTTGAATGGGTTTTATTAATGCATAACTTCTGAATGACTTCAAACACTGAGGCACCAGAGGAGCCGCGTGAATGTGTGTGTGTGTGTGTGTGTGTGTGTGATCAAGCTACCCTTTTGCCCAGACATGTGCTGACTCACTAGTAAATACTGTTTCCTTACCCTTCAGAAAAGCCACAACAATGAGCACAAAATGAAGGCGAGGAAAGAGGAAGCAAGCGTGTATATATCACATCCTGGTCATCCTGTGGGTGATTCAGAAGCTCATTTTAACATTGTGGGCCTTTCTTTGTCTGAGATCGCCATCAGTTATGACATCATGACATCACACAGGAACTTCAAATGAGTCTCGGACAAGTTCGGATATGAAATAGGCCAATATCTTTGTTTTCTTTGTTAGAATTTCTTTTGTATGGTCTACAGGAAGTTTACCAACCATAAACGAAGTTACTAAGTCAAACTTAAGAGAGTCTATAGGTATAAAAGTCTAGTATAGGCTATAGTGGAAACTATGGAAGCCTGTTTCCTCCACAGGATAAAAGATTTTTTCTCGCATGCAGTTCATCTCAGTTTACATCTCACAATAATGCATTTATATCTCGCAATTCTTTTTTTCTTTTTCCTGATTTTACATCTCACAATTCTGACTCCGAATGCTAAGTTTATGTCTCACAGTTCAGTTTTTTTTTTGTTTTTTTGTTTGTTTTTGCCCCAGAAAAAAAAAAAAAACAAGTAAAAGGTAATTGCAACTTTATTCTCACAATTCTAACTTTTTCTCGCAATTGCAAATTTATAATTCAGATTTTTTTTCTTAGAATTGTGAGTTTATATCTCACAAATCTAAGTTCATATCTCACAATTCTATCTTGGAATTCTGAGTTTATATTTTGCAATTCTGAGTTTTTTCTCAGAAAAAGTTAGAATTGTGAGAGAAAATACTAAGTAGTATTAAACCTTGATGCATAAAATCCTGTACGATTTGTTTATAAATTCTGAAAAGGTGTGCAATTATGTTTCTAAGCAATTGCAATTGGCAGACTAAAAAGCCCATAAATAGTTGTTTACACCCTAAATTCATACTAAAATGTATCCCGATACTCATGTGAACTGTCAAATAATGGCAATAAACTCGAAACATAAATGTAATTGTTAATGCTGTCGGATTGCATGTCCATTATAGCTAATAGCTTCAGTGGCTTCGTCTCTATGACACTTAGAGGAATGTTAGTTAATGACACTCAGATTCATTAGTTTGATCATTCCATTCCATGTTAATTATAGTATTGCATCTAAATAATTGTTCCTTCTAAGTGCAAAATTAGGATATATAGCTAACAAGTAGAACACGCTTATTAGCGCATTAATCGATAACTGTGAATGATGATGCATGATGACAGATGACGATGCATGTGTGCTTTCTGACATATAAGCAGTGTGTGTTGATTTCACCGCCCATGTTCACAGGTTGCAGCATTCATATTGTGCATGTACGCTTTTCTTCCTGCTGGAGAAATCTGACCCCCACGCTGGTCTTTAGTGCTGACTACAGTTTTTATTGCATGTGAATCACTGGTGTGCATTACATCACACACATATCATTCGCTCATGCGTTTGGAAATTGCAGCTCCTACATGTCCGTTCGCTTCTATTGGCCCCAACAAATTCTTCACGTTGAAGGCTTAACAAATAATTAATCAGCTTATAATAAAAAGCTTATAATAATTAATCAGCTAATAAATAAAAAGCTATAATGCTCACACATGTAAAAAAAAACAGCTCCCAAGATATCCAAAGTTTGGGATCTTAATATCTGTATGTATCAAGTATATGTGTATTAACTTTAAATCTAAAGGAGTATTTCTTTATATTTAAATGACAATTTTTCTCAGACAGTATTGGTGCATGCAGTTATTTTGAATCTTTTTGAAGTTGTAAAACAACTTCCAAAAGATTATTGTAGTACGTTTTACAAGAAAATACTGTTTTGGTCTCTCTACTTCAAACATTCATGTTTAATACTGAGTTTTTGTTTTACATAATTTTAACCTAATTCAATTAATTCATTCATTTTAATAATTTTGAAGGTAAAGATGAAATTCATTCGTTCATTCATTAAATAAAATAAAACCCAGGAAGTTAAAATGTTTTGTTTTATTTTATTTTTTAAATTATGTTTGTAATTTATTATTTTGTAAATTACTTTGTAATTATTTGTGAAACTTACTTGCAATTTCTGAGTGAAAATTGTTTCACCACCAATTTTTTTCAGTGTAATTTGATTAATTAAAGGCATATTATGTAGTTAAATTTGATCATTAAAAAAAATTATAATAATTTTAATAATTTTACAGTTCCAGAGCATCATGTTTGAATACATTGTGGAATTAGTTTCTTTTTATTCTTTTTTTTAATTCTTACTTTAAATAATGATTTTTTAAAAATGATTAAATGGTTTTATTTTTAGTTGACTATAATAACCCTACTAGGTTGAATACTTAGTGTTCGGGCTTTGTTCAAATCTAGCTCAAAGTATGAGCAATATTAGTGCTCATATTTATACTTGTTTGCAAGCACTTTTTGTTTTTGCTGAAACATAAGCAAAAAGCATAAAAAATTAAATTCCATGTGCTTGTTGGATGAAATGGTCACAATCTTGCACCATTAAGAAAAATAAGATGTTAGTGTCTTTGCACTGACAGAGCGGTGCTTGAAAATCCATATGCAACGATTAGTCAAAGCCGCTGAGTTTGTGAAGATCATTGATTTCCTAGAAACTTCAAAAATATTGCTCTTCCGCTGCTCCACCACTAAAACACAGGTTTCTTTATCATCAGTGCTGCAATGAAGAACTCATGGGGCCTGTTAGAAAGTGAACTGACTGTATTACTGCTGTGGTGTTTGTGGCTTTAACTAGTGCATCTACAGCCGCCTCGCTTCTGAACAGCCAACAGCCTGCTGGAGCGAGAGCACAGATTGATGGGTTTTGTGTGTGTGTGTGTGTGTGTGTGTGATAAACAGCAGTCGGGATACTGGTACATGTGTGTATGTGTTGATTTATTGCAGTCTGGTGCAATGTTCTGTCACGACTTCTTTAGGAAAACATTAATTAACCTCTTTCTTAAGAGAGATATTAAGTATGCTGACATGTTGCTCTTACTGTCTCTGCAGTATACAGTATGTACAGTCTTAAGCATGAAATCCCTGATAACCTATACTGCATTTGCTGAAATGTGCGGTATAGATCCACTATCCCACAATGCAATGTGTTTGACTTGGCGTACTGGAATGAACTGGAAATGATTAAAATTTTACTGTTATTTATTTATTTATTTTATTGACCTGCCATTTTTACACAAAATTTAATTTAAAAATGCTGTAAAATCATATGTTTTTTTATTTTTAATTTTTTATCATGATAACTGGGTATATGCACTACCATTCAAAAGTTTGTGGTTAGACTCAGAATGTTTTTTTTT